GAGGCCGGCCCAGCCCTAACCCTCGACAGGAAGAACAGCAGAAACAAATGTGCCTTTTTCTCTCTTCCCCTCTTTTGGAGTTCTACAATATATCATAGCCCACAAATATCTGCTAATGAGGCAGAAGTAAATCAGTCACCTGTCCACACCCACCCACTTTTACTGATTTTTCTTTGGCATTCTCTGTAGTACTAGTTCCTCACATTCTCCTTTCTTGTAGCTACTATTGTAACACGCTTTGCCAAGTCTAACAGCTCTGTAAGTATGAAAAATATGACGAATTGAAAGAAAGACTATGATCTTATCAGCTAAATTTAGAGCAACAGGACTTAGCTTACATGCATATTTTCTAGCATTGCAGTACTTCAGCACTTTCTTTTAATTCTTAAATTGCACATCATGATAAAAAGAAGCCTAAAGATGAAAAAACGATAATGTGTTTTTTCTGGTACAATTATTCTATTATGTTGCTGATATATGTAAAACTCAGGAATTTTATAAAATGCACATAATTTTTACCAATAAAGAAAATAAGCATGTGTTTTGATTTTTGTTGAAAAGGTTTTTTTGCGTTATGTAACTTCAGGAAACTAGCTCAAAATGCTGTACTGATCTGTCAATGTGCCTATTGATTATTCGGTCTACCGCATTATGTTATTTTGAATCCTGAAAGTATAACAGCAAGTAGGATGATCTTGTTAAAAAAAAAAAAATCAATTCATTACGCTCCCATCTTTCTGCAAATGCAACTGTTTAATGCATTAAGCCCTTTTTTGTTCAGAAACTTGTAAGCTGATCTTTGATCACCTTGCTAGAATGCAGCTCAGCTACACTGATACTGATGAAGTCTCATTAACTTTCCTCAATGTTCTAGGAATAGAAAAACAATACCAAGTATAAGGGAAAATTAGTGTACAATCAAAAAAAGAACTGTGAAACAATTTGTACCTTCTATTCAGTTAAGCACAACTTAAAAAATGGGTACTGTTTGAAGACATAATTCATAAAGCTTGATAACATAAGCACGTGATTAAATCCAGTTTGAAATCTATCTCCCATCTTGCCAAGAGAAAGTTAAAGTTAATGCAGTCACAGAAATCAAAAACATTAGAATCAGCATGAAAACACAAAACTACAGTAACAGCGGAAGCGACTCAGCTCAACAAACATAAAAAGAAGACGAGGAACAAGTCAACTGAATAGGGCAGCACTGACAAGCGTACAATGTTTTCAAAGTGCTGTAACAGAGTCCACTAAATCTGCAGATCCTGCGTATTCGTTAAGCGCTCAGGATATTCCATGGAGACTAGCACAGCTCTTGTATGTACACAGCGGAGAGAGGCCCCGTGTGCCGCATCAGGGAAGTCTGGGAGCAGCCAGGGAGGAGCAGGTATGAAGACGAAGCCTGGCCACGGTCTAGTCAGGGTTGGATGGGGCGGCCTGACAACATGGCTCATGAGGGAAGCCCCCATGACCGCTGATCTGGGAGCTTCCCCATGTGCTGCCTAGGCCTCGGGCCCATGGCCCAAGGAAGCGACCATTTAAAGATTTTCTTGAAGCAGTGCCCAGGCAACTTTATAACAGTGCCAAGGCCTCTCAGGGTGTAATCTCCCTATGCTATGGTGGTCAACAGCAGTTTAAAAAAAAGAAATTTAAAAGTACTGTGCTTCTGACAGTCCCAGATCTGCCCCAGGCAAGAACTCAAGATGTGAGAAAGTGACTGTGTTATTCTGTCTTCTTCTTATTACACACATACTTAACAGGCTTTCAAAAATTAATTTCTGGGGGAGGTGGGGGGGCAGTCTGGCACTGGCAATTATCTTAAAAGTCTTCAAAATTATGTACAACTTTCCATATGCAATTAGCACCTCAAGGTTGATTCTGAAATTTAGGCCCTGAAGCTTGGAATGTAGAGCAGCATTGCGTTAATAAAGGTCTTTCCCCTCCACAAGCTGATTACAGTTTCCAGGTGACAAAAATTTGAAGTTACCTAATACATCCTTCACATACACTATTTATACAGCCATTGTAGTTGTTATTTTTGATAAACGTAAAACGCAAAAGTTCAAAAGAAACAAAAAAAAAGCACAGCATTTAGTTGGTGACTATTCTCTTAAGAATATTTTTTTATTTTGACGATATAAATCTTATACAGAAGCAGTGACTACTCTCACTACTCTTCCCTTTCTGAGCAGAGCTAGGAAACTTTTTCTCCCCGTGGACTTTATGGTATTGGAAAATGCTCAGAAACTTCCAGAATCAAGTAAGGAAAATATTCTTTGACTTAACAGGCAGCCTCGCACAAAAAAGGAAAACTGTCCTTTTCTAGGTCTAGCAGACCTTGAGCTGCACCAGCTGCAGCTCAGGAAGATAAAAGCAGAAGCTTGAACTGGGGTTGTACTTGCATCTGAGGCTGTGCTGCCCTGGCTTCACTGCTATCAACACTTGACAGAACAGATTAATGTCAGTGTCAGATAGGTATCACAACAGGGAGTTTGAATGTATTTATGGCTCCTCTCTGCTTCCAAGGAAAAGTTCCAGGGAGGCAGACATCCAGGGAATAAGTTCATACTCATTACTAGAGCACTGGGGAGAAAGAGTGAAAGAAGTTGAACATTTGCCGTCATTTGCCCACTGGCATGCAGCAAAACTCGATGGCTTTAGATTCACTAGAGCATGTTGTGCAAGAAGGGATTGAGAGCAGCCCTGCAGAGAAAGACTTGGGGGTACAGGTGGATGAAAAGCTGGACACAAGCTGGCAATATGCACTTGCGGCCCAGAAAGATAACCCTATCCTGGGCTGTGTCAAAAGAAGCGTGGCCAGCAGGTCGAGGGAGGTGATTCTCCTCCTCTGCTCTTAAGACATCCCACCTGCAGTGCTATGTCCAGCTCTGGGGTCCTCAGCACAAGAAGGACATGAACATGTTGGAGCAGACCCAGAGGAGGCCACAGAAATGGTCAGAGGATTGGAACACCTCTCCTGCGAGGGAAAACTAAGAGAGTTGAGGTTGTTTGGCCTGGAGAAGAGAAGGCTCCCAGGAGACCTCACTGCAACCCTTCAATGCTTAAAGGGGGCTTTTAAGAAAGATGAGGACGAACTTTTTAGCAGGACCCATTGCCATAGGACAAGGGGTAATGGTTGTAAACTAAATGAGGGTAGATTTAGACTAGCTATAAGAAAAAGAATTTTAGGATAGGGGTGGTGAGACACTGGAACAGGTTGCCCAAAGAAGTTTTAGAAGCCCCATCCTTGGGAACATTCAAGGCCACGTTGGACAGGGCTCTGAGCAATCTGATCTAGTTAAAGACATCACTGCTTATTGCAGGGGGCTTGAACTAAACTACCTTTAAAAGTCCCTTCCATCCCAAAACATTCTATGAAAGAAATTGAGGAATCTTACTTTGAAGATTCACCCACACATTTTGTATTTCCAGACAGGAATACTTTTTTTAAGGCTGTACTTCAAAGGTAGGATAGATGCTTCTAAATAATTCATAATCAGAAATTTGTGAGAGAATGTTAGAAGACATAAGTGTTCTAGGTCTTCCCACAATGTGAATTGAGACTTTAGATTATTTTTAGCAGTGCAGAATCGTTTCTCTGCAAAGATCCCTTTAGAGGCAGAACACAGATACAGTCCCAAGATATTGCAAGGAGTTAGCTGAATTACGTAAATTTAGAGTAAATTTGAGTAATTTTATTTCCTGTGGTTTTAGTGAAGCAGTGCAGCATGTATTTTGCATTTTCTTCTAAAATTCTCATCACTCATGGGAGACTAGGGCTTGCAGGTTATGCAAGGACACTTGTAGCTGGCCTACAACTAAAAAGCTGTATTGACTCACCAAATCTGGAGATAAGCCTAGACCCCTCAGTGCTCGAACACTATTCTGTGTTGGTTTTGTTTTCTGTTCGCCAGTGGCGTTAGGCTGGAAAAACATATTTTGAAAGGTCAAACAACAAGTGACATCTACTAACAGAGAAGTTATAGATTAAAAGGAAAAAGTCATTGCAAGTAATAATACTTGCAGGAAGGAAACGTATCCAAAATAGAGCCACAACATACCAGAAACAGTTACGACACCAGTTATATAAGAAATTCTGTTAAGAAACCACATGGCTCTAATTCATGTCAGGTTTGTCAGGTTTATTTCTTTCAGAGGAAAAGTTTCAATATAATTGATTCAGGTACAAGAAGAAGAATGTTCCAAGAGTTGAATTTTGCTACGAAATAGGGAACATCCAACATAGCACAAAGCCTTTAGTGATCACCCTTAGAAATAACCAGATGTACTAAATAATTTTGGTTTCAAATACACAGAAGCAAGCCTACCAATTGCTGATCAATCCTCTAATTCATAACTGTAATGGTTAATAATTCTCTTTTGAAGTGTACAAGGTGCAACCATATAACTGTTGCCCACCTTTGCTTACCAACATCTCCCCAGTGAATACTTACCTCTTAATATGAAAACTTATTTGTGAAGTAAAATTTAGAGTTCTAATGGAAAAACACTTCTAGTCCTGTACAAAAAGGTGTAGTGGTTTTTACTGGAAAATCAGTGCACAGTACAGAGGAGTTAGTGACCAAATCAGAGGTCCTCTGAGGCTGCCCAGGCCACACAAATCTCTTGGCTGCAAGACAAATTCCACGAGCTCCCCGCACTGGAGAAGGCTGCCAGCAGCTCCTACTGAGCACCTGCCTTTCCATCCCCCGCGTGGCCTCGCCTTCCATCTAGGGATGTAGCAAGAAGTTCTACCGAAAACATTCCTTCCGTCTGACAGTAAAAATAATAGTGTTGTTTCCTTGTAAGAAAATTATCTGTCAGCTCAAATGGCCGAAAGGGGAGAATCTCCGGTAGGTATGTGGTCTGCCCTGCATCAGGGTCATTCAATGCCACACCACTCGGGGTTCCCACCACCTAAAGAGGTGTAAGGTCATTTATACTGCTCTCTCCTGATAGCCTTAGCTCTAACAAACAGAATTTTAAATGATACCTGATAGAGTCTGAGCACTTTCTAACCTGGTTCAAAATCTACCATCACCTGCCAGTATAAACCACAACTGTGTTTAGCCATCTAGACAAATTAGTGTTAAAAATGGGTGGTTTTTTTGGTAGCTTAGAACATTAGAACAGATTTTCACACCAATAAAGTAAGTGTCAAGGCCTTTATTAACCCCAGTGTGGCTGGGTTTCCTATCTCTGTCTCTGAAACCCTCCAGCATGAAAGGGTTAATGGGAGAAACAAACAAATATAAAGCCCAATACACCTGTTTTATTAATTTTAACAACTTACCTGTGGTACTAGACTAACATGGATATTACAGAAGTTCTCTCTTTTTGCTTTGAACTGAAACTGTCTAAATGCTTCAACAAATGGCATTCCTTCAATGTCTCCAATGGTTCCACCCAGCTGAAAAAGAAAATTTCCATATGTCAGTAGCAGAAAGCAAAACAAAAAGTCTGCCTCTTACATACTCAGCATGCTTTCCAAAATGTTTACCTTAAAAATAAATGACAAATAAAATTTGCAGGCCTACTCTGCAAAGATCCCTCACCTATTCTGCACTTGTTTTGTTTTCCACAGAAAAAGAAAAAATTCCCATTTTGCTATATTCACTTTACACCAAACACACAAACCCCTCGTGGGAAGGCGTGTGGTGCTACTGAAGAATAAACACTTTCACATTGCTTTCAACGTGGTGAGCAAGTCGTCAGTAGTGAAGCTGATGTGAAGGGTTTGTACCAAAAAGCTTTATTTTCCTGTTTGTCAGATTAGCGAATACTTGCAAACAATGAGGTAAAGGCACATAGCAACATTATCACAGCTTTCCAACATCAATAAATGCCATATGGACAATATGAAATAATATTTAATGTTATAAAAGACTTTAAATATTTATTACAAAGACAAAACCCAAGACGAAGTCCATGATAAAACTTACTTTAAAAGACAGAAATTAGATGTCTTTCAAAGACACAAAGAGCTGTAGTAGATTAAACAGCGTTTAGCTCGACGATTTTAGTAGTTTTATTTCCGCATGATTCTTCTCTGCCACCAAGTGGCTTTTGACAGAATTGCATATTTGTGTTCACCCAGTGCCAGTTCTGACAACTACATTTGTATGTGACACACACATTTAGTTTAATTGCTTCCGAATTTTGCCATGGAAAAGCATTACAATTATCCTTGCGTTCCTGAAGAAAAATATTTTTATCAGACTGAAGCTGTAACAAAAAAAAACCCAAAAACCAGACAAAAAACACACCTTAAATGGAGGAAACAAAATTAAGTTTGAAGCTGAAGGACTGATAAGTCCATCACTTATTAATGTTCTTGTGCAACTTCTGTATTTACTGTCTTTATATTTGTTTTAAATGAAATGTTTGATTCTCACTGTGCACATCACAAAAAAGACCTACAGTTATATACGTGTATTTTAATTAAGGCTGACTCTTCTGCATAAGAAATATTAAGCAATTCAGCAGCCTGAGTCACAAAGTTAAACACATTGTTGATTACAGTGGTCACTTTTGACATTAAATCTGACGTATTCCTCTGTCAAAATCTCAGGCGTATTTTCTGCTGTAATAGAAATACTGGCAATTACTGACTGCCTTTCCTCCAGTGCTCTACTCGTCTCAGTGCTTTACTAAGGATAGAATCATAGAACCACAGAATCATAAAAATTGGAAGAGACTTCTAAGATCGTCAACCCAACACCACCGTGACCACTAAGCCATGTCCCAAAGTGCCACATCTACACATTCTTTGAACACCTCCAGGGATAGTGACTCCACCACTTCCCACAACAGCCTGTTCCAAAGCTTCACCACTCTTTCAGTAAAGAAATTCTTCTTAATATCCAATCTGAACTTCCCCTGGAGCAACTTGAAGTCATTTCCTCTTGTCCTATCACTTGTTACTTGGGAGAAGAAACCAATCCCCACCTCGTTGCAACCTCCTTTCAGGTAGCTGTAGAGAGTCAGAAGGTCTCCCATCATGCTGCAGGCTAAACAATCCCAGTTCCCTCAGTTGCTCCTCATAAGACTTACTCTCCAGCCCCCTAAAATGCATTGTTTACCTTGTGCAGAACATCCGGAGGTTAAGTGATTAACAAAGATACCTCCAAAGATCTTAAAAATAATACCAGGAAGTAGGAAACTAACTTATATGGTGTTTAAATATATTTCTTTAAACCTGACCACGAGCTACTAGATCAACATTTGAAGTCACATGGAAATGTTACAGGCCACTGACCATAGGAGATTTCAAGTATCACACAAGTTTTCTCAATGCTATTAACAGTATAAAGCTTCAGCCAAATGCCCATAGCTTGAAATAGATACTTCACATTACAGTAACTGACTGCTTTAATTGTATAAATTAATAAACTCTTAAGTAGCTCACTTTCAGCAGTATTCAAGAAAGGATTTAGTCAACAGAAGATGTAGGGATAAGACCATACCTATCATTCTCTAATAAACCAAAACGTGTCTTTGCATTACTGCTCTCCATAAAACTTCAGTCTGACCTTTTTAAAGTAAGTAGCAAAGAGAAAGCAAGCTAATCCTAAAAGGTTCCATACTTGCCTCAATTACACAAATTTGTGGCTCTTTTCTGTCATCATCCACGGGAACTTTTGCCTGATTCATTACCCATTCCTGAACCGCATCAGTGATGTGTGGAACAACTACAAGACAAAACCGAAGAAGGCAAATGTATCTTTAGTTTATGCCCACATATCAGTCTCTGCATCCAAAAGGGGGGAACTGAGCAGAAAATCAAAACGAAACTACCAGCTCTTGTAACAGCTGATCTAGCGTGTAAATAGCTGATTGATCCCTCGTGAAGACTGAAAGGACTAGCACCTCACAGAAGTAAAAAAAAAAAATCACCTTGAACAGTTTTTCCCAGGTAATCACCATGTCTTTCTTTATTAATGACATGCTGATATATCTTTCCAGTGGTAATGTTGTTATCTTTATAGAGATTGATGTCCAAAAATCTCTCATAATTTCCCAAATCTAAGTCAACTTCTCCACCATCATTCAACACGAAAACTTCACCTGAAAAAAATGAAAATAGAGAGAAAAGTACTAAAATAGCCAGAAAGAGTTAAATTTTTTTTTACCAAAAACTAATCTTAAAATTGAAGAATTTTTTTTAAATGACATAATACAACAACATATCAATAAAGTATATGCTCCAACTCAATCTGCATTGTCATTCTGTGTGACTTAATATGATTCATTACTTTTACATCAAACGTCTATCCATCAGTCACATACAGTTTTGCAAATAAATTTAAGTTATATTGCCAAAATATTTAAATTACTTTTAAAAAAATATTTAACCAGCATTTCAACAGCATGCTACAATCCTCGATTGGAAGAAAACAATCTCCAAGAATCATAAATCAGCAACAAATAAAACATGAATTTCCATGCAGCAAAAATTGTGCTTTTATAACCATGAATTATTATGTGCGTTTAAAGCGTTTCACTAAAAACTCTTGTTGTTTGGATCTACTTAATGATTAAGGCTTGGATCAGGAGCAATATTATGATGCACGTAAATGTTTCTTCACACATCATCATTGTTTCTTATTCAGCTTCTTCATCCTGTAATATTTGGTTCACTATGCCCACAGTGAAAAAAAAATCTAATGAAAATATCCCTCAGGTTCAGACTTCTCTTAGACCTCTACAGAGTCTCTAAATTCTGAACCTATTCAGCTTCTGAAGGAACTATAGTTGCTAGATCTTGAGGTAAAGCTGGAAAGCTCTTAGTTACAGGACTAATGCACAAGAAAAAAGAAAAAGAAAGAAGAAGAAATTCCCCTGAAGGTACAGTGTGGACTATGGATATATCCCACCAACATACAACAATCCAATGAATAGTTCCACAAAAACACACGTGTACAAAAGACTGGAAGGCTATGCCTGATCCTATGAGGCACTGAGTACCTCCTCTGGACTAAGTTATCACATAAGCCAACAAATGCAGAGTGGAATCAACATTTTTCATAAGCAAACCTTTGAAGAATAAAAAAAAATTATTAAAAAATCTCTTTGGTTAACCAGAAATCATTTAATTAAAATCCTTTGACTCAATCATACTTCTGCCAAAATGTTAACAGAAGAGGCTTGCTATTCCAGCATGTTTCAACTTGTACTCACTAGCCACCAAGCCAGTGTTTCTTCACAAGCAGTAAGAAACTCTTACTGATTCGGAGAAAAAAATAAAATAAAAATTCTGTGGGAACTACATGCCCCCTGCCCTGCACCTGATCCAGGTGAGAAATACATCTCAACTCATTGCAGGAGTCTTAATCCCAAAGTAAAGGCAGAACTTCACTGGTCACCTGCCTGAGTAGCACCAGATGTGCTTCTGAAAGTGCAGGACCACTGGATTAGTTAAATTTGGCTTTTTGAGAAAGGTCTGATGTGCTGCGCTCTTCCTCCACTCAAAAAGCAAAGTGGCAAAGTGGTCTTTTTTCAGCTCAGGGGATAAACACATTTATTTCCAGTTACATAAATTTTGGTGTAGAGTAAAAGTAACCAGACAAGAATCAACAAGTAAAAAGAATTAAAAATGTCTACTGGAACTTTGAAAACCAATGGTTTTTTTAAAAATGTACAAGTAACAAGCCAGACAGCTGAAGGAACATTCAGTGTTATTAATGCATGTCAGACTGTCCTGTAGCTCATGAGCAATGTAGTCAACGCAGCCAATGAAGCTTAGAGACCTAACCAGCCAAACTAAGCATCTACTTTAAAACAATATTGTTAGTTGGCTCTCTAAGCTTCACAAATGGTGACTAAAATGAGAATTTAATCTAACTCATGAAGATACACTAGAAGGCACGGACACTGGACACCCAGCACTCACAAGTAACTGTTGAGGGCTTAAGTTTCAAGTATATTTTATAGTATTATTTCAATATTTTATTTTTTTATCAAGATGAGCTGAAGATAGCATTAACTGAACAAAGCCTATAGCTAGGATCTTCCCAACAAATCAGCATTTTACAGAAAGGAAGTGTCTACTCCTAAAAGTATCTTCAATAAGCAGGCTTCTCCTCTCTGCTTAGAGCAGACAATGCCCTGGAGACCACATAGTAAGAAACAAGCTTGCATTGCAAAATACATTACAAAATCACTAATAACTAAGGTATTAAAATAAAAATAAAAAAAAATAAAATTACCAAAACACCACATTACTGTGAATACAAATATTTACGCAAAAGAAAACAGCACTGCCCTTCGTACCATGTTCGTATGGTGAAAAGGTTCCAGCATCTATATTTATGTATGGATCAATTTTGATCGCAGTGACACGGAGACCACATGATTTCAGTATGGTGCCAATGCTGCTTGCAATGATCCCTTTGCCAATGCCTGAGATGACGCCACCAGTTACCAGGATGTACTTCATTGGAAAATCAGCACATGCACATAGATCTCGAGCTGGAAATCTAAAATGACAAAGATGTACATCTGATGGAATGCAAATTCACGTCAGGGAAGAACACAGCCTCAGCACGTAAAGAATCTACATGGAAATGACCTTCAGAAGCAGGTAAAATAACCTTTCTGGAATCTGGGAGTAGGATTCATCTTTCCCAGCTTATACATCAATACATAAGCCTAAATCCACTCCAGAGCCCATGGAAAAACTGGTATCATTTTTGACACACTGCCCTGTGGAGATGCCGAAGAGGCAGTTCATCTGATGTATTCCTCTCCCGCACCAGGAAGACACGGCTAACTCTTAGAACCACAAGGCAGGCAAGATGAATCTCACTCTGGATTCTTTCTAAATTAAAGCAGTTAATAATTTCACATGTGTTTTGAGAAGTCAGCTCAAAGATTGGTCATTACTACCTTAGCCAGATAACTCACATTCTCTATCCAGTAGCTTTACCTCTAGAAATAGCAACTGTAGCTTCAAATATCTATTAAAAATCAGCATGTTACACTGTCCACACTTTCCAGTAGCTTTCACTTCTCCAACTCACAGTGTACCAAGTATTTCACCAAAAGCCTTACAATATCCTACAGATCAATAGAACGTGAGACCAGGACAGAAAAACTGAAACAGAATGTCCATATTAATACTACAGTATACTACTGCTCAATAGCCTGGAGTCCTTTCTTCACATGCCTACTCATTCTCCCTCTCCAAGTAATTACTACAAGAGAAAAATCAGAAAAAGAATGATTTGGCATCACCAGACTATCATAGACTCATAGAATGACCCAGGTTGGAAGGGACCTTAGAGATCATTTAATCCAACCTCCCTGTCATGGGCAGGGACGCCACCTCTCGACTAGACCAGGCAACACATGGCGACCGAGCGAGACTATGATGCAGAGTAAGAATTGACGCTGTTCTAGAAAATTACATTGTATCTGTTTTAAGTTTCAGATTTAGAGAAACACCTGAAATTATGACACTCGTTAGCACCATGCACTCAGAACAGCAATCGTGGATAGAGCAGCTCTGAGACCTATGGCACGGTCAACTTGTTAGCCTCTGTTTCCCTGTATAGACTGTAAAACAAATGATTCTTCAAAAGAGGAAACTATGAGTACTCATAAACACTGTAGCCTAAAGATAGAAATGGGATACCTAATGCATATGACAATGCTGAAGTCTTGACCAGATACATCAACATATTTCACAGTGCTGTACAACAGTACTAGCATAAGCAACAGTGACTACCTACAGAAACTTCCTCCCTTGAAAATTTGAAAATTTGTTTTTTTACAACAAGTCTGGTTAATCAAAACTGAAAAACAAGGATCTGTTACAAACTAGCAGATTCAAATATCATAGTAAATAAATCATACGATGGGAGGGAATAACCTACAAATGATAATATGTCAATGCCACCTTGCACTATCTAGGAGTATGAATGGTAAGGGATCCAGAACTGTTAAAAAGACATGATGAGGAGACCACTCCCTAAAATTTCTGGTAATTACAATCCTAACTGAACATTCTTCCTTACTCTTCTTGTTGCTATCATCCGCTGCTTGCATCCACTGCTGTTGATGTTGTCCCTGCTAGTATCCACGTTCATCTGGCTTTCATGCAAGCACATATTTTGCCACCATTTCTCCACTCTATCTGAAACAGTATGATGTTGTGTCCATCTCATCTCTAATTGTATTCACATTGCATTCAGGCAGCTGTAGAGGTTAATCACTAGAAAAATTTTTGAACAGTGACAGCATGGCTGACGACACGATCTTACTGCACTTAGTACAAACCAAAGCAGCAGGGTTCTCAACTGCCAGTAGTAAACAGTGGCTACAGAACGAACACTGTAACCCTTCCTCTCACTATACTGAAGTAACATAAGTGAGGCCTAGCTCTTCAGAAGACAAGAGTTCAAGAATGTAACAATGCTTCTTATCTATGCTCTTATATTTCTTGATCACAGGAATTACTAAACTGTTATTTCCTTATCAATATGGACAAAAGGAAAATCACCGGCATCAAAACTATTTAACTAAGGGAAAAGGATCATTCAGGAATTAATTTTTCCCTGCCATTAATTCTAACATATAGATTTATTTTTTTTTATAGCATAAAGACTTGGAGCCTACCTCCTCTGTTTCATACTCTTCCTTCCTAATCAGCCAATGCAGCTGTTAAGACTAACACTTCATAATCATCTAAGCCATTTTCAGAGCTACTTCTAGCAAAGGGGAGGGAGGGGAAGAAATTAATTCAACAGGTATAAACCTTGAGCATGTGCCACTTCGACATTCTTAAACTCTGTCACCTTGCTTACAGGAACCAACATTAAAAGCTTGCTGTGATTTTAGCAAGAACAGCAATTCCCCAGCAGCCGAAGGGAACACATTTACTTGCAACAGAAACGAAGAACTCCAGGTGGTTCGGGAAGTCCCTTGTTAAAGGAGAAGGAAACGGAGCTGGGAAAGGGGGAGCAAAGATTGCATACCAGAAGCAAAGAGAATCACAGAACGGTAGGGGTTGGAAGGGACCTCTGAAGATCATCCAAACATTTTGCTGGGGCCTGTAAATCAGCACAGAGGCAGGGAGGAGCGCCAGTTACTCCGTCTGGTCTTACCAACAGGGGCTTGTTGCCTTCAGTCGGGATTTCGGAGCGCTCCGCCGCGGGAGTGCCGCGCTACCCGAACAAGTCAGCTGCAGAAGGGCCCAGGAGAGGGGTTCCCCCTGC